AGGAGACTGATTAGGTTGAGAGCGACGGGATGCCTGATGCTGAGGCCGAGAGGAGGCTTGATAGAGGTGGGACACGTGAGGCTGAGGGTTAGGCTGTGGAGCGTTCCCCTGCCTGCCTTGCCCCACCCCCTGGTTGACAAGTGCCCTGGGGCTTTCCTCCAGGTTTTCGTTGATCTGGGCTGCCAATTGGTCCAAGTCTCGGTGAGTGACTACCCTGGGCTATTCACCTCTCCAGCAGGGTCACTACGAGCTGGGGGTACTATCTCCTCGACCATATGAGCATGCCTAGCCGAGAGAATTGGAGCTTGTCTAGTAGCATCTTGATGTGTGCTGCGGGGACGCCTAGTATTCACCATAATGACTTCTTGTTAGTTATCCCCACAAAGGCGCCACCTGTTTTGGGAAACAGAATACTCCTCGGTGTGAGGGTAATGAAATAAAGATGTCCTAGAGCTATGTCCAATGAATGTCCGAATTCTCCTTAGCTATGCCTTGTTCTCCGAGAGCTAGGCCTGCAAAAGAGAGAAAGAAGGTTAACTGCCTCGGAGGTATGACCCGGGAAAGCCCCTCTGATGCTTAAGTCAGCAAATGTACTTTCTCTCTCTACTTTCTCGCTCTAGAATATACATTCGCTGATTTAAACATCGGAGGGGCTTTCCCGGATCACACCCTGAAGAATGATCAGGTTTATTATACAGAAAATCACCGAAGAATATATATAAACATAAGCAACACCACCAACCAAGCAATACCTGTGACCTAACATAGACGATAACATGACCACATGCAAAAGCCAAGATGTTGAGCTTTGGGCTTGTTGTTTCGAAAATAGAGATGAATTGTACATCAACATAAGAAAGTGCATCAGCATATGCACAAGATGATTACGGAGGGAGATTAAAAGAATTTTCTAATATGCTGGTGTGCATACATAATAAAGCTTACACATAATAAAGCTTACACATCAGAAAACAGAATTTTAACAATGGCCAAAGACTACTTATAGAGCAGGTTTATTTCTATTACAAAATTGTTTTTTTAGATGGATATCGACAAGTTACACTCTGAATGTTTAGTAATTCACTGTTAGATATCTCTAAGAGTTAAAATTCATAAATAGTTATTTAGTAGCTGTGTCTGCCACTTGGTTAACGAGTATCAAAGGCCAATAATTAGGGATGGCAGTGGGTCGGGTTAAATGGGAGACCCGCCCCATCCCTTTCCAAGTGGGGCGGGGATGGAGGGAAGTTTGGCGGGTGATGGGGCGGGGATGGATATAAAATGTGTACCCGCCATGGGTGATGGGGCGGGTATGGATTTTAGAGTAGACCCGCCTCATATCCGCCCCGCCCGTACCCATCTTATACCCGCACCATATTTCTTTTAAAACATTTTATAATTTATGAAACTTGATACCCTCTAAGACCCAATAAGCTTGAATAATGAAAGTCCCAATTTTCTTAACTTAATTTGATATAATTGTCATTAATGTGATACAATAGAGCATCATGGCAATGGGTTTGGGACGATTTTGGGGCGAGTATGAGCTGGGTATGAATATTCAAGTGGGTGATGGGGCGGGGATGGATCCTATCTTGTATCCGGTGGGGTGGGTATGGATGTGAATATTGTACCCGCCACGTTTGGTGGGGCGAGGATGGGTATAAGATTTTTAAGCGGGTATGAGTATGGAGGTACCATCATCTGCATCCGACCCGCCCCATTGCCATCCCTACCAATAATATCAATATAAGTTGCTGCAAGGATGAGAAGGCAAACAAACAGATTCAGTTCAATTTTACACTACACACTTTGTTTGGATAGAAGGAAATTGAAGCAAAAGACGGGAAGAGAAAGGGAGGGGGACAAACTCCCTTGTTTGGGTAAAGGATTACGGGAAGGAAGGGAAAGGAGAGGGAGGGATCCATTTTCCCTCTCTCTTTAATAAGCATAATCCCTCAAATTTTGAAGAGATATGGAGGGAAAATGGAGCTCACCTCTCCCCCTCCCTTTTTTTTCCCTTCCCTTCCTCCTCTTTCCCTTCCCTTCCTTTCCTTTCCTTCCTTATTTGTTATCCAAACAAAGCGTAAACGCTCACTAGGGTATCGTAAAACAAATGAATTTCACAGTAAACATGCAGCACATAGTTATGAGCTTAAAATCCAATCTTGTATAGTATTTGTCAGCTTTTTGAGTGACATAATGCCCAAAGTGATAGCATATATCGTTCTAAAATTAGACTTTTTTAATCAATGCGATCAATAGACCACACTCAGTATCACAGGCAACAAGGAATTATTCCTGTTAAGTAGTTTATGATAGCATAAGGGGTTACCCAAAAAACCGAAAAAAAAAAAAAGAAAAAAAAAAGATGACCAAGCTAGGGAGGAACTTTATGGAAGCAATTGTTTTCAAGGATCAAATTCTAGGTATTAGTTTAGTACCTCTTTCACAAACATCGCCTGGGTCGTTGAGAATCTCCACCAGTTTCTTTGCTTTGGATCTGCATAAAGTAAATTCTTAAGAGCAAGTTCATACATCAAATCAACACTATGAATGCAAGCAGTTATTGAGCGCAGCACTCAATACGATTACACATCATTTAAAACAATAGTTTTATATTGGACCCTGCGGTTAATTCAAAAACCATTCATAACAATGTGCCAATTCAAGCAAACAGGTAACTGCCAGAGTGCCAGGATTACAGCACTTCATTATGAATACTGCCATAGTCCATGTAAGTCCCAGAAGATGTCCCCCCTCTAATTAACTGAATGTAGGGAATAAAATAAATATCCACGAAAGTCTGACGAATTGAAAAGAAATGCTAAATGACTTTACCATGCAGCTTCATGGTTTATGGACTCTAGACATGAGTAAATTGCATTTTAAATATGGAAGCAAGCACACTACATAAATATATCCAAGAGCACAGGTGAAATTAAAGACAAACTTGATGCTATACACAATTAGGCATTTTAGCAAAATTTCAAGGGGAACAAAGTAAGATAGCGGCTAAATACACAAATCAGATAAAAGCAAGAACAAACCTTAACGCCAAGTTAGTGTTCATGCGTAACCTCAAGGAATGCACCTTCTACCACTCCCATTTTATCCATGACAGAAACTTGCATTTGGTGCTTTTTTGCGAACGATTTCCCTTAATATTGTTAAAATAGAAATTAATTCCCATTATGCTTCGTTTTAAAAACAAATTCCCAAAGTAGTGTCCACGTAGGATTGGTTTTCGGTTCAACTTAAAACCGCTAACGGTATTAGCGGTTTTGCAATTTTTGTAAAATAAAGTCAAAGAGACCTGTTTTTATTGATAGGCGGTCTCTTTGAAGTTATAAGTGTAATTGTCAGCACTCTCTTTTCTTGTTGTGGGCTAAGAATTAACAAGGACGCAAAGAGACCTGTCGTATTTCAAGGCGGTCTCTTTGAAATAATTTTCCTGTAGATATGCCTAGTGAATTAACCAAGGACGCAAAGAGACCTGTTATTGTTAGAGGAGGTCTCTTTTTTAAAACCACTATTACCATTAGCGTTTTAAGTTGAACCAAAAGCAAAAAAAAAAAAGATCCTACATGGACACTATATAGGGAATTTATTTTTAAACCAATGTATTATGGGAATTGATTTTTATTTCAACAATATTATGGGAAATCGTTACTTTTTTGCAATGGTGGAATAATTGGTAATTGCAGACATATTTGCAATCAACTGCAGTCCGATTGGAATAATATTAAATCAAAATCAGTATGCACGCAAAATTCCAAAGCACATTTACTATTCCACTAGAGGTATTAAAATCAAGTTAGATTAATCACCATTCCACTAGAGGTATTAAATCCAAAGTACCTAATATAATTAGGATGACTTTTGAGTGGCCATTGTACCGGTAGCATCTACAACATGCTGGTAAAAGAGCGTCGTGCAGTTTAAAGCCCTCGTTAATCATTGAATAATTCATGTCCTTACCGGCATCAGTCTCTGCCACGTGGGGAGCTGCTTCTCGGAACGTGGCATGTCCCTCTGACACGTGGAGAGCTGTTTGGTGCCGCGTAGGCACCTGCTATTTACAAGGTCGGTGTGCCACCTATCTGTATAGGTGACACCTGCTTGGTTGTGTTTCTATAAATATCCAAGCAAATCCTCACTTCAAAGGTAGAATCTCTTTCTCTCTCTAAAACACTTTCTCTCACTTCTTTCACTTTCTTCTGACAAAGATACTGACTTTAGCATCGGAGTGGTTATTCCCGGATAACCCCCGGGTTAGCTAATCTGTATTGGCTGTGTAGGTGAGCAATTGGACGGTAAACCATTACCAGCCCTCGGACATCAATGGAAGCAGAAATCAGCAGGAACAATTGGCGCTAGAAGGAAGGGATAGTAATAACTTCTATCTTCCAATAGAACCTCTCACAGTTATGGAAGGAAGTAAGGAAACTACAGTACCGGTACCGGAGGTTGATAACCGGCAGTATGATACCAGTATCTTAAATGCTAACGCGAATAAAACTATAAACAACCTACCAGAAATCGTGGTCGAGGATGAAACTCATCTCCTTCACGGCAACACAACGAACATGCCCTTAACGCCTGACCGCAATAGAGTAGTGACCCCAGATCCCTTGGAGGGGTTCACCCCGGAGGAGCTAGAGATAACGGCTAGGGTCATGCGGGCTATGTCTAAGAAAAGAAAGAAAGTCGAGTTAGCGGCAGGGGAGGTACTGCCTGATGTACCGACAAAGCCGCTAATAGTGAACCTGGAGAGTCAGTTCAATCAGGCGGGACAACAACAACCGTCAAGGAGCCGGGGCCGATAGACCATACCGGCTGAGCGCCAAATCACGCAAGGCACCCAGGTGGGGGATTCAGGTTCCTATCGGCATGAGGTTTCCAGTGGCTTGGAAAGGCGGGCAGCCAGGGCGATCATCAGGCCCATGATATCTCCGTTCACACAAGAGGTACTTGACCAACAAATGGTGAAGATAAAGATGTCGTCCTGTACGTATGACGGTAAGGGGGAACCTAAGCGGTATGTGGCTGCTTTTGAGAGTCACATGTTGCTATATACCGACACCGATGTTGTGTGGTGTAAAGTTTTCCCTACGACTCTTACCGGGGCAGCTTCAGATTGGTTCTCCAATTTAGAGCCGGGATCAGTCGACTGCTTTGAGACCCTGGTGGAGTTGTTCACAGGTCAGTACATAAGTAACAGTGCGAGACAAAGGACATCTGGCGAGCTCATGGCTATTCAGCAACGAAAAGAGGAATCGCTCAGAGATTTCATTAGGCGCTTCAATAACGAGGCTAACACCATACCAAAATTGCAGCAAGAAATTGCCGTGATGGCGTTGATGAATGGACTGGGTGACAACGACTTCAAAAAATATATGTCGCGGAAGTCTTTCCCAAACTTAGGGGTAGCATTTGGCAAGGCTCACGAATACATAAAGAGTGAGGAACTGCCGAAAACGAGCCGTCAGATATCGTCAGCAGAACCCTCCAGAAGGCAAAGTGATAATAGCCCAAACGCCCAGATGGGTGGGATAAGCAGGGTACTGCCGCAAGGTCAGCAGAGATCTGGACGACCGACAAGGGGATTGGCCCGTTAAGTTATACGCAGTTAAACACCTTGAGAGCGGCAATTTATTCAATAAACCAGAATAGAGAAGATTGGAGTCGACCGGCACCGATGATAACGAAGGGCCGGGACGTGAAGAAATATTGCATGTTTCATAGAGATGTTGGTCATTACACCGAAGAATGTGTCCAATTAAAGGAGAACCTTGAAGATCTCATAAGGAAGGGGCGATTGTCCCAGTATCGTACTCAAGCAGGTCCCGGCCGACAGCAAAATGCACAGCCCAGGCAAACCGAGTACCGAAAGCAGGGAGATTCATCAATGCAAGATGACACCTACAGACAGAACCATGCGGAAACATCCAGATAGGGAGGTAATCCGACAGGACACAAAATAACAATCGATGTCATTTCGGGAGGACCGGTATACGGGGGTTATGTAAGTGGGGCGAAGAAAAGTTTGTCGGAATACCGACATCTAGTGAACGCATTGAGCGTAGAGGAACGACCTCGACCTTCTCCCATGTTTTCTATACCTTTTTCGGAGGAAGATGCTAAGGGAATAGTCTTCCCTCATGATGATCCGTTGGTGCTGGTATTGACGGTAAATGGAGCAGATATCAAGCGGGCTCTTGTTGATGGCGGGAGTTCCGCCAATATCCTATTTGCTAGAGCTTTTGATGTCATGAGAATTGGCCGAAAATACTTAACGCTAGTGTCCTATCCCGTGATAGGCTTCAACGGATCAACGGTAAGACTTGAGGGCAGTATAGTTCTTCAGGTTCGAATGGGAGAGGGGTCGGCAGCGAGAGATGTTATGGCGGAGTTTTTGGTGATTTATGTGCCATCCGCTTACAACGCCATTGTCGGTAGGCCTTTAATTCATGACATGCAAGTTGTGGTCTCGACATACCATTTAACAATGGTATATGTGTCCAATGCGGGAACGACAGAGCGCGTACGAGGTAGTTAAACTATGGCAAGAGAGTGTTATGTTTCAGCACTAAAGCAGTCTAGCCGACAGCCAACTTGTGAACAGACACCATCCAAGCGAGAACGAGTTCCCTCCGCACACGATTTGGCCATGGAAAATTTCGATACTCGGCCGGTAACTGCGCCACGTCCTTCCCCAGGAGGCGAGACCGTAGAGATCGAATTACAGCCAGGGGTTCCCGGGAGGGTAGTGCGTGTTGGGTCCGATATGGATGTCGACACGCGTTGCCATTTGGTGGAATTGTTACGAGAAAGTGCTGATGTGTTTGCTTCTCGGCAGATGAGATGCCCGAGATACATCCCGACGTCATTATGCATAAGCTAAATGTCGACATGAGAGCGAGACCTGTTCGACAGAAGAAAAGGAACTTCTCAACAAAGAAAATGGAGGCTATTTAGTCAGAGGTGAATAAGTGGCTAGCGGCAGGGTTTATCGAACCCTGCACATACACAGAATGGTTAGCAAATGTGGTTATGGTAAAAAAGCCGTCAGGGAAATGGAGAATGTGCGTGGACTTTACGGACTTGAACAGAGCCTGCCCGAAAGATTGCTATCCCTCGCCGAGGATAGATAGATTGGTAGATTCAACTTCCGGTCACGCGCTATTGAGTTTTATGAACGCTTTCTTCGGGTATCATCAGGTCAGCCTATATGAGCCAGATCAAACCAAGGCGACATTCATTACCGATTCCAGAGTTTTTTGTTACAGGGCTATTCCGTTTGGATTGAGAAATGCAGGGGCTACGTATCAGAAGCTGGTCGACAAGGTGTTTGCGAATCAGAAAGGAAGGAATGTGGAAGTGTATGTGGATGATTCAATTGTGAAAAGTCGTTTGGCTACAGATCACGTCACTGATTTGAGAGAAACTTTTGAAACTCTCCGACGCTACCGGATGAAGTTAAACCCGGAGAAGTGTGTGTTCGGCGTCCGGTCAGGAAAGTTTCTCGGGTTCATGGTGAGCGAAAGGGGGATAGACGCTAACCCCGATAAGATTGAGGCGATTCTTAGTTTACCAGAACCAAAGTGCATTAAAGATGTGCAAACGATCACTTGTCGAATGGCTGCATTAACGAGATTCATCAGCAAGTCAGCTGACAAAGCCTTACCATTCTTCGTGATCTTGCGTCAGAACAAGCTGTTTGAATGGGGGAAGGACCAATCCAAGGCGTTCCAGGCTGTGAAAAATAACTTAAGGTCCTTACCCATCGTCGCAAGGCCGAAACAAGGAGAAACATTGCAGCTTTATATTTCCGCGTCAGCAAAGATGGTAGCAGCGGTGCTCCTAGTGGAACGACAAAAAACCCAACTGCCAATCTACTTTGTGAGCCACGTTTTAAATGCTGCCGAGAGACGGTACCCGTTAGTAGAGAAGATCGCGTACGCAGTAGTTGAGGCCGCACGAAAGTTGCGTCCTTATTTCGATGCACATGCAATTGATATTTTAACGAATCAGCCGTTAGAGAAGTCTTTGCAGAAGATGGAAACGTCTGGCTGTTTGCTTAAATGGGTGATTGAATTGTCTGAATATGTTATTACGTATAAACCAAGGGTATCAATCAAAGCCCAGGCCTTGTCTGACTTCATTGTAGAAACGTCTTACCATGAAGAGGAGGATGGTACCGGCACATGGAAGATATCAGTTGACGGCTCGTCTGCTTCAACCGGCTCAGGAGCAGGAGTAATTATGATCTCTCCCCAGGGAGATGTGTTCGAGTATGCTGTCAAGTTCAAGTTCAAAGCCTCGAATAATGAGGCATAATATGAAGCAGCGTTGGCAGGGATACAACTATGCATATCTGCGGAAGCAAAGCGTATTGAGATGACAACTGACTCTCAGCTAGTAGCAAATCAGTTCAATGGCACTTACGAAACTCGAGAGCCGAGCATGACGGCATATTTGGCAAAACTTAAGAGTGCTACATCTGGTCTGGAATATTTCGAAATCAAGTTGGTTCCTCGAGCAATGAACACGCAAGCAGACGCATTGGCTAAACTCGCAAGTTCAAGCTTCAACGACTTAGAGAGGACGGTTATGGTAGAGGTTTTGAAAGAAAGAAGTATTGATGAACAACCTCCTAAGGATATATATTGTACAACTGCGGGACGAGAATGGTATGACGATATCTTGGCTTACAAGGTACATAATGTCCTTCCTGCCGATAAGACGGAGGCAAGAAAGGTCCAGAAAGATAGCGTCTGGTTTATCATGTTCTGAGGTTTGTTGTATAAACGGGGGTTTTCGTTACCATTGCGAAGGTGTATAACAGCTTATGAGTCGGCAAGACTGATAGAAGAAATACACGAGGGTGATTGCGGTAATCATGCGGGGGGTCGGTCAATGTCCTTGGAAGCAATGAAGCGGGGATACTATTGGCTGACAATGAATGCAGATACCATGGAATGCGTTAAAAATGTGATAAATGCCAGAAGTACGGGCCGGTGATTAATCAACCTCCAAATGATTTAACACCTATTCTTAACCCAATTCCATTTGCTCGGTGGGGAATGGACATTATCGGGCCGTTTACATCGGCAACAGGTGGCCGTAAGTTTTTTATTGTGGGGATAGACTACTTCACCAAATGGATAGAAGCAGAACCAGTAGCAAAGATTACACCGAATGAGGTAAAAAAGTTCATCTGGAAAAGCATCTTTACACGGTTCGGATTGCCGACAGCAATGGGGTTTGATCATGGATCACAATTTGACTGTAGCCCGGTAAAGAACTTTCTAAGCATATACAAAGTGAAGTTTGCGTATGCGGCGGTATGTCACCCGCAGTCAAACGGCCAGGCTGAGGCCGCTAACAAGCAGATACTAGGGGCAGTTAAGAAAAAGGTAGACGACGCCAAAGGCTTGTGGGTGGATCTGATACCTGAGATTTTGTGGGCGAACCGTACGACAACAAGAGAAACTACGGGGGAATCTCCTTTCAACCTCGCTTTCGGCTCAAAGGCAGTGGTTCCGGCGGAAGTGGGACTACCTACTTTTCGGGTACAACACTTCTGCGAAAGTCAAAATGATTTGTTGCTTCGACAGCAATTGGATTTTCTACCGGAAGTGAGGCTGACGGCTGCCATAAAATCTGCAGCATACAAAAACCGAATGAGCCACGCTTATAATCGGCGCGTCAATTATCGGCCCATGGAAGATGGTGATTTAGTTCTGCGCAGAACGGCCGCAACCGGCAAAGGGAACGCAGAGGGTAAATTTACTGCAACCTGGGAGGGGCCTTACCAAATATATGAAACACTTCGGCAAGGGTCTTATCGGCTAATGACCCTTGAAGGAGTACCCTTGAAGAATGTTTGGAACGCTAGTGTGTTAAAGAAGTATTTCATGTGAAGTTTAAATGTGTTCAATTTTATGTAGTATAAATTTTGATGACATGTTGTCATACATATGTTTATGGCGTTTACTAGCATTGTAACCTACTTCAATACTTATGAAATACAATCACTCTACCTACTTTCGATACGATCTGATCACAGCCTAGCTAGCTGACTCGGTCGTTCAAGTGAGGGAAAAATAATGAAATAAAATAATAATGGACCTCAAGGGGAGTTGAAAGTGCAGTCTAATCCACTGCCTTTGCTCAGCCTGACAAAGGTTGGATACTTTATCTCGGTATGTTTCACATCCGATATTCAATACAGGCATTACAGAGTTTTTCCAAAATTTGTTTACGAATAAATTTTGCCAAAAAACTCGGGGAGTATTATTGGTAAGGTGTAACTTGAAAATGTCGATAACAAAGTATTATTGGTAAGGGGTAACTTGAAAATACCGATAACAAAGTTGAATGCAGGCATTATTTGGTTTTCCAAAATTTTATTTACAAATAAAATACCGAAAAGTGTAACTTTGAAATGCCGAAAAAACGTAAATTCGTGATAAAACCGAGAGAATAACTAAAAAACGATTCAAGGAATGTAATCATTAAGTGTTAGTTAAAAGGTAAGTAACGACCATAGCATAAACAAAATATGCACGACAGTAAGAATTATGGTAAAGAAGTAAATAAACTAATTACTCAA